CCCCCCCCCCCCCCCCCCCAAAAAAAAATCCCCATCCTTGATTTGTGTCTTCTGAAGAGATTCTTGGAACTCTTGAGTATTTTTAAAAATCATCCAGAAGCAAGTATTATCAAATTGTAATTACTTCTCACTAATTATTACAGGGACAGAAGCTCTTTTTGCTGATCTTGCCCATTTTCCGCTTCCGGCTATACAGCTGGCTTTCACAGTAGTTGTGTTTCCTTGCCTTCTTTTGGCCTATTCTGGACAAGCGGCCTACCTCATGCAAAATAAGGACCATGTCATTGACTCATTTTATCGTTCTATTCCAGGTTTGCCTGAGCACCCAATTTTTTATTACTACCAAGCCTATAAATTATTCTATGGCTCAATTTTGAGTTCTAATATGGATTTTTATCAAGATTCAGGTTAATTGGAAAGTAATTTGCTTGGTTTGGGTTAGACAATCTTTTATGCCTTTTTATGTTTGCTCGAACTTTTTTCCAATATGGAAATAATCAAAATATGTGAAATCACTTAAAGCTAAATTTTTCCAATGCTAACTCTTGACTTTTCAAAATTCGTTCTTAAATTGGAAGCATCTTCAAGTATATATTGTTTATTAGCAAACAATTTTGTAGTTCGATGTCAAGACCACATTGTTGCAACTCTGATAGAAATAAGTTTTTAATTATGCAGATGGCATATACTGGCCAATGTTCATTATTGCAACACTGGCTGCTATTGTGGCTAGCCAGGCCACCGTATCGGCTACTTTTTCAATAATCAAGCAGGCCCTTGCACTGGGCTGTTTTCCCAGAGTCAAAGTTGTACATACATCTAAGAAATTCCTTGGACAGATATATATTCCCGATATGAATTGGATCCTTATGATTCTTTGTATTGCCGTAACTGCTGGGTTCAGAAATCAAAGCCAAATTGGCAATGCTTATGGTAAGTTTTCTGTGTTAAGCCTTCAATTCCTGATATTGTTTTTTGTGTTAATGAGCTTTTTCCAAGAATCCTGCTATTATTAATGAGATTTTCTTGAAATTACCTACACAGTTAGTCTTCATCTATGGGTTCTTTTATTTTGAAAAATGAGGTTAATCTAGCTCAGTATTGTTTCGATTTCTCTTATAATAGCTTACAATAAGATTGTCCTGTATTACATCTAGCAAGTTGCGTGGCTAGTTGCTTTTTCAGAACGCCTTCTCACATGATATCTACGTAGTCTTTTATTATGTCAATTTCTTGAGAACTATTATGATACCAGTTATCTTTGAGAAGAAACACTATCGATTTATAACATGATGTCTCATGTGACAACAGGTACGGCAGTTGTGATAGTCATGCTCGTGACCACCCTTCTCATGACATTAATAATGCTATTAGTTTGGCATTGTCATTGGATTGTTGTCCTGATTTTTACTGGCTTATCACTCGCGGTGGAGTGTGCATACTTCTCAGCAGTGCTTTTCAAGATCGATCAAGGTGGTTGGGTTCCCCTTGTGATTGCTGCAGCTTTTCTTGTCATCATGTATGTCTGGCATTATGGTACAGTCAAGAGATACAAATTTGAGATGCACAGTAAGGTCTCCATGGCTTGGATTCTAGGGCTCGGTCCCAGCTTAGGGCTGGTTCGTGTGCCAGGGATAGGACTCGTGTACACTGAGCTAGCAAGAGGTGTACCGCATATTTTTTCGCACTTCATCACAAACCTACCGGCTATACATTCGGTCGTAGTCTTTGTGTGTGTGAAGTACCTTCCTGTCTACACGGTTTCTGAAGAAGAGAGGTTTCTTGTGAAACGAATAGGCCCGAAGAACTTTCACATGTTTCGTTGCGTTGCAAGGTATGGTTACAAAGACCTTCACAAAAAAGATGATGAGTTTGAGAAAAAGATCTTTGAAAATCTCTTCACGTTTGTTCGGCTGGAGGCTATGATGGAAGGGTGTTCTGATTCAGATGAGTACAGCATATATGGACAGCAAACTCAGCGGTCAAGAGACTTCCTGCTGAAAGATAATGCATACACCTCTACATCAGATATAAACCTCACGATCTCATCAGTGGACTCAATCGTGCCTGCAAAATCTCCTCTGCATGCTAACAGCACAATCACGTCATCAGGGCGAGAAAGCAGCCAAATAGAAATCGATGAATTGGAGTTTTTGAGCAGTTGCAGAGATGCTGGGGTGGTGCATATACTTGGGAACACTGTGGTTAGAGCAAGCAGAGATTCTGGTATTCTTAAGAAAATTGCCATTGATTATATATATGCATTTCTTAGAAAGATATGCAGGGAAAACAGTGTAATCTTTAATGTGCCACATGAAAGCCTTTTAAACGTGGGCCAGATTCTCTCTGTGTGAAATTTTTGACAAAGGATTTGTAAGAATTGAATATTTTTTGTCTTAGTCAAGATCGTGAAGTTCGATGTGTTATCTTGTAATTTTGTGGATTTAGAACATTTGCGTGGTATGTTTTGTGGTTGAGAGAAGGAACTCGGGGCCAAGCATGATGCCGCTAAATGCATAACAATGTATTTTTCTAGAAAATCTTTTAATTGTTCCATAGCAACTAGAAAGAGATTATTTAACATAAAAGAATAAGTTTTACAGACCTAAAGGCGAGACAGCTTTTGCAGGTACATTCCTTATAAGATTGATTGTACTTGATGAAGAAAAGAAAGCATGGATGCATACAGTAGATATTTAGTAGCACATTTTAATGTTGTACCCGAATCTATCATGCTACGATACAGTTTCTATATGGTGAACTGAAAATAGAATATACATTTATGACGTGTTTGGTGAGAGTATTGAATAGTCTTGCTGGTGTTGAGTCATGCACTGCTCCGCCATTTTGTTCTTGCGTTCATATTCTGGTGGGCAAACGTGTCCTATCTTTTAAATCAATAAATGAACATTTCTATATTATTATCTCAAATCATTTCAATTCACCGCGACCTCCAAACAAATAGAGGCTTACAAGATACTTAATAATTTTCATTTATTGCACCAAAACTTATGTCCATAATCATTTTCTTGTTGTACACAAATCAATCACTGCATAATCATGATGAGAACGCTGTACAGAGTATACCAGTCTTCTTAAGAAACAAAAGCAATTTATATATAGAAGCGAGCGTTTATATCACTGTCATCATTTGGATAACTGAGTCTGTGCTGCAAGACCCTGAGTTCTGGTCACGCTTGCAGCAGACATTGTACGCAAGCGTCTAGCAATTTCAGTGAAGGATGGACGGACCATTGGATCTGGAGCCCAACATTGTTCCATAAGTAATCTCCATTCGGGATCACAGAAGCTTGGCACAGGTGGCCTCAATGTGTTATTTACTATACCACCTGCATACCAGGAAGGGAAACATTTTAGACTTCTTGTTATCAATATTCATTGTGGTTTCCATTTTTCACATTCTACCGTTGAAAAGAATAGTTTGCAGTAAATAAATTCACATTCAGAATTTTCATAAATTTCACGGGAAAACCATTATGTAATCAATCTGGTTAATAGTCTCAAGTCTTTCTTCTCAGTAATTTCTAGTATGAACCTCTGTTAATTGTTTCTGAAGAGTTGAATTAATGCACAAGGTAGAAGCCATTGGTTATTCCTATTTAGAAACTGGGGATCAATGTGCAATTAAGAAACAGAAAGGAAGATTAAGAGCTTAATAGGACACGACAGAGATTTGATGAGCGAACAAACCTATGATAGCTCCATAATGCATATTGGCATAAGGTTCCTCACCGGTTAGAATTTCCCAAAGTACAATCCCAAAGGAGAAGACATCAACCTGCAAAATAAAAAGCTGTCACCAAATACTTCTGGTGTAGATTTTCTTTTTGTCTTTGTATGAAGGGCCTCAAATATTTCACAATACGGTTTCCATTCTCTAGAAATTTGGTTAGAGAAACTTGTGTAGAAATTTGGTTAGAGGACGAAAAAAGAGAACTATATGACTGGCAAGTTTTATGCTGCTAAATACATAGAGTAATTCGCACACGCCTTGAAATGCTCAGTAAAGTAATCCAGAAAGGGGCCATCTGGCCGTTGATGGAGTGTGCATATCACAAAGGAATATTGTCTACTAGCATCAACCACTGAACTTCACATCCTCTTCTCTCTAATTCCATGCTATATAAAAATAAAGATAATGTGTAAAATCTTACCTTCTCAGAAACCTTACTACTGCCACCATTTAGTAACTCCGGAGCCATCCATGGAAGGGTTCCCCTGACACCACCAGTAACCATTGTATTTCTTTTGATTTTAGACAATCCAAAATCACCCACCTGAACAATGAGCAAAATAAAATGCTAAATATTGGTTGGATTCAACACTAACCATGACCTATTTTCCACTTCCCTCATCTTAATTTTATAACTAGGTATGATTAATTCCTTTCTCCTGCAGGAAGGTAAAGCATTATGGATATCTGTGATATTGCGCCATTACTACATTATGCTAGTCGAAATATTTCTTAAATCACACTTTTTGATGTCCCCTTGATTAAAGAAGAAGGGCTTATCCTCTTAGTCACCTTGCATATGGGTCGGGAAAGATCCTTCAAGTTGACAAGCAAGTTATCACATTTCAAATCGAAGTGCACAATATTCCTTGAATGCAGATATTCCATTCCAAAAGCAGCATCCATTGCGATTATGAGCCGCTTGCGACGATCCAGATGCCTGAATACAAGCAAGTTATCACATATCAAAGGAAGCACTTGTATAGTGCCGTTAGTAAATTATCAGATTTAAAAGTTATGTCTATAACATTATAGTACCTGTCCTTGGAAATTAAAACATGCCTAAGGGAACCATTCACCATGTATTCTGTTACAGTTGCAAGTGTTCCTCCAGGGCCATCTTGCACTACACCATAAAATGCTACTATGTTGGGATGGTGAAGCTTTGAAAGAATTTCAGCTTCACGCCAAAAGTCCACAGCCTACAGAAAATTAATACAGGTTGACTATCATGAATTGAGAGAGAGAGAGAGAGAGAGAGTATTTAATATATACTACAAATAAACTGACCAGTCGCTCCTGCTCCGATGAGCGACCTGTGAAAAAGCTCTTCTTTATTCTCTTGATAGCAACATCTGAACCCCTCCATTTCCCGTGATAAACAGTCCCGTAGGTTCCAGAACCTAATTCCCTCAACTCTTCTAGATCCTTATTCTTTATAATCTGTAATGGTAAAAACCGATTCACAGTAAATGGGTAAATGGTCCAATATAATCTTATAATATTTTCATCAATTTCAAGCAGACATGTATTTAATGATTTTTTTATTTTGATGATTAAGTCATCAATGCATATAGGGAAACGGGATTAGATAAAACAAATCTTCCAGATCCTATCATGTGAAAAACATGTGGATAAGAAACAGTGACTGATGCACTTTCTCTACCCTGCAATGGTTTACAAATTCTGTGCACCATGCAGGAGCAGACTTCAGGTACAGCACTTGAGGATCACCACAGAAGCACCTCAATTATTTCTTACCGCTAAAACTTCATGTTTAAACTAAAGAATGAATTAAACAAGAAAGATACCAACTTTTGGAGGGAAAAGGAAATGGATTTCTCTTTTCATTATGAAAAATAAACCATTTTCCTTATTTACTCTTTTTCAGTTTTCCCTCGGTCTGATAAACACCAATTTCAACAAAGAGAACCGGAAGTAATCTTTTGTCATGAGACAAGCACCCTCTTCTTTTGGGAGAGAACAATTATTAGTCAAAGTGTCAAAACGGTATACTTACATAACAAAGGGTACAAAATCAATCTGATTTGTTTTCTATCAAAAGTACCATAATAATCAATGACTAATTATTCTGTAGATTGTCTAACTAATTTATCATTCAACCGACTCATAATATAAAACTAAGTGCAAATAAAAATGTCTACGGCATCTAGTAAGTCTCCATTAGAGTTAAAGGGATGAGGAGAACTACTCTGGACACCGGAAGTCAAAATCGCTTTTTCTCAAATTGTGCTTAACTGGAGAAGTTCTGTTAATCATTCACATAAAGAGAAGGAGGGTATGATGAACTATCTAGCAGCATTTCATTGGTAGGTTTGTGGCAGTGATGTAGATAATACAACAAAAGTGATACGTGGCACAGCATAATATGCAACAACAATGATCAGTGGTAGTTTATATGAATCAAGGTAGACAGTAACATTCATATACATGAAACTACAAGGGTGCATTAAGGTGAGGCGAACATCAAATTATTTGTACCAGAGCACATTTTAATGTTGTCTCTTTCGGTGGTTTGATGTTCTTGTACTTTCATCTTCTTGTGAAGGGTGGCAAGTTCAATTACTATGATGGCTAGCGGATTTCCATCATTATGGACATTTTAATGACGATTAGGAGTGAGAAAAAGTTGAGCCCCAACTACATAACTCAAACTTTTCTGCTTTTAGCTAGTAAATTTTGTCAGGAAGGAAACATTATGTCCATAATGTATATACTAGAGAGGACCTTTTCACTCCAGAGATATACTTTTTCTCATCATTTGGGATGTTTCCTAATAAACCTTGCTAAGTTCTATGGGCATTTTTTAAGGTAAACAATACATGTATGCCCATTTTTGATTTACATGTGTGGAAAATATTAATTTATTTTTCCTGATTAGGTGGCATCATACCTGTAGCATATGGAGATCAAAATCTCCTAGAGAGAGGTCGACAAGAGGAAATCTGGTATTCTGTGCTTCTTCCTTCTCATCCTTAAAGTGATAAAAAAAAAAATGAATCAGAAAATACAGATAAAACAAAGCACATTCCTCAAGTTTGCATAAGGTAAAAATACCTGATATTCAGATTCTGGTGTCCTTGAGTCCATTTGACCATCAAATTGCAGACTTGGAACGCCAGAGGTCTGGGAAGGATCATGATCAGAAGGCAATTTCATGGTCTCTGGTCTGATGATGCTAGTTGGTTGCTGCTGAATATCGTCCTCAAAATTTCTACGGGAATCAATGTGATCCATTGCACCTCCAGTAGCTCTAGGAAGTGGATAACTATTTTCAATGGAATCCGCTTCTCCAATATTGGCACGAGTATATGGCAAACTAAGATGATCCTGATCCATAAGGGACATGTCTTTTCTTACAAAATCATCTTTTGCTAAATTCTGAAAGAAAGACCAGTGCTTAGGTTCATGTTCCATATTTAAGCTCAAAACAGTTCCATCTCTCTGCAGTGGAGCAAAACCAGAGGAGCTATCTACAACTCTAGCCTCAGAAAATATATCAGGCAAGAAATCTCGAGGAAAACGATCATTTATATCAATAAGGATGTCCCCCTGTTCTGAAGTGCCAACACCAAAAGAGGGTTTACCTAGGGGAGAAGTTACAGCTGGATTTTCTCCAGCCAGAGGCTGTATTTGCTCCTCAGAGGTTTTTCCACTTATCTTTCCCCAGTGAAGCTTCATAAGGTTAGGAGCAGATTCATCTTGGGGATAGTCAGAACTTCGGCTAGTCATAGGGAAATTGGATACAGAAGAATCACTATCAGGAAGTACCACAGCATTTAAGTCAGACTTGTGAAGATTTGACTCAAGATTGTCGTCATGGACACTTGAATTCTTTGCACCGATGTGATCAGTAACTGCGATTGACTTCTGAAATTCACTCAATTTCTCTTCTGCCTGAGAAGCCACATTCCAATCATTCAGCTTGTCAATTGATTCTGTCATCTGTTGTGAAACATCTGATCGGGCAGGAGTCATTAGATATTGGGAACCAGAACGATCATCAGACTTGGACAAACGACTAAGCCCTGCCTGTTCTCTGGGAATTCTTTCTGAATGAAAAAGGCTCTGGGGAAGCACCTCTGCTTCACAGTTCAAATCATTTGAATATGCCTCGGACTCACCATGGACAGGCATAAATGCTTTACCATATGTATAAAATCGGTCATCCACATCAATCTTTTGCATATTTGCTTCCTTGACATTATCCAGAGGAACTGAACTCCTCACAGAATCCTGGCTCTTCTCACTACTTGTTGTTTGAACATGAGTCTCTGTGTCTGCTGCAGCACTAATAATGGATGCATCCTCTCGTGTTATATCATTTAAAGATGAACTGTCATGTGGATGAGAAGAGAAAATGTTCTCATTTTTGACTGACAGCATCTTATTAGACTCACCGATTTTCTGGACTGAGTTCTCTTCTGTCATCTTTACATCCTTCAGAAGCAAATCCTTTTCTATAGATTGGTCCTTAAAAAACTCAACCTTCTTCGAGATAATAGTTTCATTTTTAACCTTCGTCTTCAATGTTGACACTTCTGGAACCTTTGCTTTCAAGCTACCGTGAGGCTGCCCCACAGCCATAGCCCCTTCTGAAGTCATGTGCCCATAAATAGAATGTGGAGTCAAGTTTTCAGCAACCAGCACATGATTTGATGGATGAGAACCATAATTGTATTGCACTGGAACAGATGGTGGGACATTATTTTTGAAACCCACATCTGGGAAGCTGTCTTTCCGTTGGAAAGTGTGCAATTGATGCAATTCAGGCTGTCCATGATTCATTGTTTGCACCTGATACCCACGTGGATTGTACTCAAAAGCTGGTGATGAAGTTGGTAGCATCATCTGAGAAGATTTATTTAAAGAGGGAATACCAACTTCAGGATGCGCAGAGCCGGCCACTGCTAAGCCAACTGCAATGTGACCAGTCGCCTGCTCAACACTTAAACTCAGCAACTCCTCCAAATTGTTTCCTGAAGTGTTCTCTATAGCAATGGAATTTCTTCTGGATCCAAAGTCCATGCCATTTATGGCAACAACATATTGAAGCTCGGATTCACTTTCTGCATTCTCGAGATCAAGCTGAGAATCACTTAAGTCATCATTTGAAATAAGAAATATCCTGAGTTTCTGGGCTCCACCATCTTCAAGTACATTACATTCCTCCATCATATTCTGCAGGTCCTCGTCACAAGAGACTGACACCAATGCATCAAGATCCTCACCCGGAAGCTGATATTTGATTGTATGAGGTTGATTATATATTATCCATGTTTTCTGCACAAATTCCTCCCACAAAATATCTTTGCTTATCCGGACAATACGTGTATCACCTCCAACATACCGAAGCTTTCCATCTTTTGGACGAGGCAAAATTTTACCACCAAAACTGCAGAGTAACTTCAGCGTTGTTGATGAGCTACCAGAAGCCTTTGAAGCAGTATGACTATGAAATCCATGACTACTCTTACGTTCTGATGAGGTTTGATTTACAGAGTGAAAGGGCTGAACATAAACTTTTTCTTCATTTAGAGTAGAAGCATTGCTCTCAGGATCTCTCCTCTTTTCTGCGGTGGGGATAGTGGAAGTATCAAGTCCACTGTCAGAACCTGTATGAAATATTCCAAGCGTGCCCTTTACATCCATATACACAGTTGCACTATTAGACTCATTAGAGGAATTTGGAAAAATGTGCTGCCTTGGATTCACCCTTTCCCGCATAAATTCAAGAGCAAACTCCTCACCAGTCTGAATAGAATAGTTGAGAACAGGTCTAGTCCCAACTGGTAAATTGCGATCAGGTCTAGCTCCAACAGGTAAATTGAGTTCGGGTGGTCGAATATTAGTGTTAATCGAATTGCATGGATCCTGAAAAGTCCATTGGTTCACAGAACCAAGCCCCTGATTTCTAGTCTCTGCAGAACTATAACGACCTTGTTCATAGTTCCCCAATTTAGCTTTTTCCATATTTTTTTCTGTTCAAGCTAATGGGATAAGCACCTAGGAAAATAAATGAAAATGAGAAAGCTATTGACTTTCCAGACAGCAACCAGAAATCTGTTAGTTTTCAATCAGGCTCCAGAATAAGAAATAAGCTTTTACTCATTTCTTAATTTAGAAAACCCGACCAAAGAACTCCCTCAGCTCGAATAATAAGCAATACAGCTGATAACTATCTTTCCACAGAGTAGAACCTGCAAGCACTGTATACAGCCAGTGATCAGAACACCTTGAGCTACAAAATCAAATTCATGAAAAGCTTTAGGCTATGGGAAGGAAAGAGGATCGGACAAAATGAAACTTAGAGACATAATTTTGCTCATCATATGCCTTAATCTCCTCCCATAATATTGAATTTCAAACTTAAAAATTTCTGTTAATACATTAAAATTCGACAAACATAAGATGAAGTACACGTACTTATGAAATTCCTCCTTTGTTTTCAATTTCGACTCTCTTCCTCTTACAGATAAAGCTCTTATATAGTACCATTATCCTTTTCATTTCTTTGCATTCTCTTCTTTTCTTCTCATTTCGGACTTCCAGATAGATTTTATGGTAAACCAGCATTCCCAGAAAGGTAATACTATTCTAGAGGCCAATAAATTGATTAGGAACAGACTCTGTATTAAGCTGTCCTTGGAGAGTTAATCGAATGAGGTAGAATAGGAAGTTAATGCATTCTCATTTTCCAGACAATAAAATAAAGTCTTAAGGCCTAAAAAGTTTCATTAGTAGTTTAAAATTTTGAAAAATGGAAGGTGAGTAATGTTTAATTGTTTATATTTACACAATGTCGTACACCGACTTCGTCTTATGTCTCTCCATTTCACTCTCATTTGATTAGGAACCAGAAAGGATTTTAACTTCCCTCACATTCTCTTCCCCCTTCAACGCTCCTCAATTCCTTTCTGGAACCCAGAAAATTAGTTAGGGACCATAGCCACCAACCTCTGCAGCTAAATATTGTGGCTTTTGTCCTTATCGAATCAAATTATTAATATTATCAAGAAAATGACCAATTTTTCATAATTCTTTCTTCTTACAGGAATACCTCTTTTGAGAAAGCAAACAATATGAAATATTGATTTAATTTGATTTGTTAGATTACCAGTAGCAATTTTGGAGAAACATACTTGGAGGAAACACGACTCGTAGTACACAAGATGTACGGGACGATCAACTGGAGTATTTATTAAAGAAGACAGGATGGGGTGGAAGGCTAAACTTTGAAGGCAAGATATGCTTTCACAGAATATAGAAATATCATAGCTAGAGAAATGGACAAGTTCAAATTCTTAATAAAAGAAAGGATGAAGAGATATTAGGGGAATGGAAGCAAAGACCTCCTATCTTCCCTCCATTTTCTAGATACCCATCATTCGCTCTTTACAAAAACACGTGATGGCGGCCTGGCATTTCTGTTAGGAATTAGCCTGCTATGAAAATGGATGTCAGACGACCACCATAATCAAACTCTTCTCTGATGAGAACGTAATGCTAATCTAGCTTACAGAATGCAATCAAAAGGTCAGCAAGAATAAACATTAGGTTAAGCTAAGGTTTCCTCATAACACCTTAGTCTACAAACAAAAGAGCCTAAACAGAAAATTAGTGACTTCTGATTATGTGGGACCATTCTTGTACGCAGCATGTTTATTATCATGTACAAATAATGTCATGAACATATGTGTTAAGAATTGGGGTTTCATCTTAAAAGGTCAACCTTATTAAGAGAAATAGCTCAAAATCCTTATTAATTGGTCTGTGTCAACATCATTTATCTATGTGGGATATATATCCCTTAACACGCCCCCGCAAGATGGTGGCTCATTTGAACAGACCAATTTTGAAATCCACGTGCTCATTTTAGAGTCTTAACGGGATCGAATCGCTCGTTGGAACATAATGGGCTCTGATATCATATTAAGAATTGGGGTTTCATCTTAAAAGGTAAACCTTGTTAAGAGGAGTAGCCCAAAATCTTTATTAATTGATCTGTGTCATCATCATTTATTGATGTGGGATATATATCCCTTAACAATATGTTACTTGTTCATGTTATTCATAGTGAAACTTGCTAAACAAAATTTCGAACACAGTTGAACCAACAGATATCAGAAGTCATTTTAGCCATCGTTAGCTTTTGATTTTTACAAAATCACTTTACTCGAAACTCATTTTCAACCACGCATTCTCCCAATAAAATAATTTTGCAAGTGGACCCATAAATTTTTTCCACTTTTTAAAGTTCTCCAAAAAAAATCACTTCACAAAAAATAAAAATCAAACGAGAGCTACTAATTTAGTGCATCTATCGCTTCATGTGAAAATGAAAAAATTCCTACCCCAAACAACAGTTTAGTGCACATCTGGTTAACACTTGTTTGTAAATTAACACATAAATTCTTAAAATGATTAAGAACAGAATTTTGTAAACTATTATCATCATCGTGGGCGCTTGGAAATTAATTGAATATTGTTTAAAAAGAAAGAGTACAAAGCATGTTCGGAAGATCAAAATCAAACCATCATACTGTAAATCAAAATTAAGCAAAAAAACAGATCATAATTGTAGAATTCAGACATAACCCATCTACTATAAATCATACTGTAAAGAGATCTACGTAGAACGATCAGAAATCTAGATACAGAGCGGACTAAACATTCGATTTTAATTGGGCTAAAAAAATCACCTTTACAAGACGATGAACTGATTAACTTTCAGTTAACAGTAAAGACAAGTCTCTCTCTTCTCGCTGTCTCTGGTAGTTATACATTATTATACATATATATCATGTAACCCTTGAATTTTGATATAGACACTCCAGTTTTTATTTTTTTACCCCCTTTAGGGGAGTCGAACAGTAGACTGGAATGGACATCAATAAGGTTATAATTGTCATTTACTCACGGAGTGATTATCACTTCTCGAGTCCTTTCTCCACGCCTCAAAATTACTATTTTATTGCAATTGTTCCTTTTTTAATATTTTTTATTAATTAATCTTCGAATGACATTGCAGCCTCACGTCCTTAGTGAGTGCAAATTAATAAATTATACAAATAGATACATAAAAATTATTTTTTAACATTGTTTTGCCATTTAATACTACCAATGTGCAATACGTGCATTGCACATGATTGTAAAAACGTCGCCATATAGTTTTAACTTAAAAAGGTGTTTCGGAGAAATAAAATGAAAAGTTATCCAAATTTTTGATGTACACGAACACAATTATCTAAAAGAGGCACAAAATACCGAATTAAATTTTCTCGAGTAGGCCATTTTTTTGTAATTAAAATCAATATTTCATAAATTTACTAATCGCATTTAATTTGTAAATAAAAGTTTGGATGTGAAAATTTATGGATTAAGAGAAAGATAGTGAAATTATTGATCTCAAAGCATTTACTTATTTAGATATTATGATCATATCATTTCAAAGCTTAAATTGTTAAATAATGGATTTACTTATTTATATATAAAAACAATGAATAATGGAGTATGCTTCTTAATTTATAAATTACAAAATCTCCTTAGTCACAAATCTCATATTTTATGGGATTGATGTATCGTTTCCTTAATTAATTAAATTTTTTTTTTTTTTGTGTGTGAATAAATACATAGGTCATTACGATAGCAATAAATAATACAATTTCATTTTTTTCCAATTGAATGGCACAAGAAATTTATCTAAAGTAACACTAAGACTAGGGGCTGTTCGGATAGTATTTATGGGTTCACTAAAATATGTGGTTAAAAATAAAGTTTGCGGAACGAAGATATAGTATTTGGCAAGATACAATGAAGTTAGATCTCCAATGTCATAATATGACGCAACATTTGTTTCCCAACTCAAAAAGAGAGAGCAAGAGAAAATGGTTATGTTCTCAATTCCTCCAATGTGATGTCCCGATGACAAGTTTATGAGTATCATCTTGTGCAAATGTACACACACACATCTTGAGTCGAGCTATAAGTACAGAAATTCACCGAACACTCACATTCAAGGGCGGGAAGATAATTTTTTTTTTTCAATATTTTATACATGGTGGCACCATGTGATTGAAAATTCAAAAATCTGTTGAATTTCTGTAAAATATTTCTTGTACTGTCAGCATAAATCTATCATCTTCTGCAATTGTACACATGCACACATACTTATAAGTGCTTCTAATTAGTGAGTTTGAAAAAACTTGTGATTAAATAATAGTAAAAGTTGTTAATCTTAAAGAAGGTGTGAATTACAATTATAAACTTTGCCAAACTTGGACTTAGACTCTTACAAGTAGAGCGCATGTACGATGAGAGGGTTTCGGGGGGCCTTGGTTTACATTTAATAGAAAGGTCTTTTTGATGGAAATGATCGATTTTAATGACATTTGATTTGGATTTTTGTAACTTATTATGATGTCATCTACTGCTGACTTTTAATCAAGAGACGTGCAATTTGGATTGGAGTTCTAATGGCACGTTTGTCTTTCTTGCTAACCATTATTTGGCGAAAATAATATTTTGAATAGTGATTTTTTTTAAAAAATGTGTACTTAAAAAGTATGGAATTTTTTTAAATTTACGTGCAAAATATTTTATTATGTAAATGAATAATAAAGCCTATCAAACATGGGCTAAATATTTTTCGAGCATTCTATGTTCTCTTATTTGTCAATTTTTTTTATAATCTCCACGTTTTAAAGAATCTAAACTGTAACGATTATATTTCACATATTTTGTGGTATTTTCTCACTACTCATATGTCGAAAAGTGTAATTTATGAAATTTTTGGAAGATCTAAAAAATCAAATTCTATAATATGGTTTCATTCAATGTTTTTGCTAATGTAGTAAATCAAATTGGGGATTAAAGGAAATTAATAAATTTAGGCCTAGCGTTCAACGTTTTACCCATGTAATTTTTAAAAAATGAGAGAAGTTTTCATTTTAAAGGTAGTAAAATTTTCAAAA